GAGCTCAATATATCAATACAATACGGTACATGATGAAAATCACAGATGATTTGAAAACCTTGGTATTTCACGTTTATGATTATTGCAAGCTGGAGGGGGTGTACTGATAAAGTTGAGACCGGAATGAAAGCTTCATATTAGTAAAAGAGATGGTTAAGATCAGACAAGTTTCAGTCAAATTATTATTTCAGTTGACAGAAACAGTGAGAGTGCCAAAGAAAATATTACGGTATAGACGTTTGAGACTATCCCTGTGTTTCGCGATGCCATTCAGCTGCTTTGTTGATTGCACAGACCTCTTTGTAACAACAAGCATTAAACCACAAACAATTACATGAAATGTTGTTTCTTAAACACTTTTGTTCGTCACTTCATGACAATGTCTGAAATTATGATGACGAGTGGGACAAATAAACCTTCTAATGCCATTTAAGACGAATTGTTGCCTTTGGTTATATATATATCTATTTTGCATTGCAACGATACGCTTCTGCAGCAAACGGACTGTAGTGAGTTGAGGCATGTTATATTCCGGACATGGAAGGTAACATTACATTGAAATGTGGTCTCTATTCTGATATAGGGTCTCTGGTAGTTTCTACCCTCTTCATAAAAAGTAAACCACTCCCCTTAACTTCAACCATAATCTTTTGTGAAAGGCATAGCCTCGAGTTTCACCTCCAATATGCAGGTAAAATTTGATCGTGTTCCCCCGAAGTTGTCAACACAAGGCGGATTACTCAAGTGCGCGTGAGGCAACGCAAAATAATAAAAAATATAAGCTAAAGATTTTTTTTCTTTTTTTTTTCTTTTTTTTTAAAAAAAAAGGGCCATACGGACAATGATATTATCCTTACCGTTTTTGGTGTTTAATTTAGTGAATGGAAGACTTTTTTTCTGTATTATTTCTTCCCTGATGTTAAATTTTATGAAAAGTTACACAGGCTAAACCATAATCTGCCCTAAACTTATAACAAACCAAGTACTAACTTGATGTGGGAAGCAATGCGGGCATGGATGACGTCACTCTTGATGACGTCAGAGGGACGTCATAGTTGGTCAGGACTCCGAAGGACTGTAAACTTTCATTACTGGCAGGATAATTTCGCCTCATGTGTGGTAGGCCTATTTCAGTTTGCACTGTGGGGGACTCCAAACAACATGGGTATTGCAGGCAAGCAGGCCCCTAAACCTGCGTTGGCAAGGATGTGGCAGGTCCAGAGAGATCATGGTAGGATTCCGGGTTGGCATTTATGTTAAGCTGTTTGTGTTTGCTTTTCAGCTGCAATGATCAATGACCCGATGTATGAAGTGTTTTTAGTGAGTTGGTATTGTATGTGAATGATCTGTCAATGATGCTTCTGTTTTGTTTATATTTGTCATGCTATCTTATACAGAGATGTGGCTGGTCTGTGACACAAACATTTCTTTCAAAGGCAAATCACAGAATCCTGTCAATGACCACATCATTTTTGCGGATAATCAAATACAATCAATAGCGCTTTACGTGCATTAGAAGCACGAACTGAAACAGAAAAACGTGATGATATAACCGCTCTCCATTATCTGACTGCCTTTCTTCCCGGAATGTAACCACGTGATCAAAACTCCTTTATGATGTTTATCGCTAGCCAAATTATTATTTCTCAAAAAGCTCACTTGGCAGTTTTTTGTAAGTATTATCACTCACAACGTGATGGCTTGGTTTTTTTATTTTATGAGTATTAAAAGACATGCAGCGAACTGCGTTGAATAATAATCACGATATTTCGCGATTCTATTTCAAGTTGCCAGGACTAGAGACTCTCAACATCTCCTCAGACAAACACTCAGTCGCTGATAGCAAAAACAAGAATTGTACTAGTATGAACCAATGCCTGACTTATCATAACTATCCTTACAATGCACTTTCCATAAAATAATGAAAAGATGAAGGCCAATGGGATAAAAAACATCCCTTAGGACACGATGCATTGATATACTTCCCCTGTGATTCATCGACGTCACAATGACGTAACGCCAATGGTCCCGAAGAGCTCTGATAAAGATAAAAGTACTTCTCCAATACGTACAGAGGGAAGTCACAACCACAACAATTCCTTCCTGCAGAATCATTTTTCTCAAACAAGCAAAAGACAGCTGGGGCAATCTGAAAACGATTTAAGACCGAATACTGGCAAGATGATTTTCATCTAAGATATACATCGCAGCTCTCAATCAATGTGGCAGACAGGAATGTTAACAAAATGCGTCACATTATCTACAATAGGATGGTATCGTTTTACACGATCCAGTCATACATACGTAGACTAACATCTAGTCTCTGAAATGAACATATTTTACAGAAACCAAAAAATTGTTAAATAATAGCTATAAAATATAATAAAAAGGAGCCCAGTGATTTTCTTCATTTTCAGAGACTAACCAAATCTTCAGAGCAAAAAAGCTTAGGATTTCACAACACATGTACAGATTGCTATCACTCATCACTGACATGCTTCTAAACGTGGGTGCGACAAGGGTATTTACTACCCCTACTACTCCTCCCCAAACACCCCTCTCACTGCCAGTGGTGGGCCTATTAGCGGGTTGCAAGTGTCCAATGTCCAGAAATCCATGAATTTGAGAAGTTTTACTTTAATTTAACAACTATTTTTTCTTTGGTGTTGGTCTTGATCTTTCAAAAACTCACTTTCAAAGTGACCTAATATTCCTCCAAAGTCTAAATGTTTTGTTTGCACTATGAATGGCAGTTTGAATGATATAGCATGGAACAGGAGGAAAAGTATTCACTAAGACGGAGCATATCTACTGATTGAAAAAGTTTCAAAAGTGTTAGTACATCAGGAATGTTCAATGTATGATGTGTGTCGAAAAAGTCTAGTTGATGACGCTTGTGTGGACAATATTGTAAGACGACTTGTGACATCATTTAAAAAGACATTTATATATTTGTATGAGTGAGTGAGTATGGTGTTATGCTGCTTTTAGCAATATTCCAGCAATATCACGGCGGGGGACACCAGAAAAGAGCTTCACACATTGTACCCATACGTGGTGGAAGTCCAAGGGTCACCACCCAACGAGAGGATCGTCAGATTGTGCGACAGCATCTTCAAGATTGCTTTGTTACTGCTGTTGAAACTGCTCGATAGACCATCAGGACACACCAGACACCATGCATCGACAATTGACAAGCAGGCACCTCCACTGTCACAGGCTACACCGAGGACCCATTCTGACACAACGTCATCGCCGGGACTGTCTTCAGCGGGCAACACAGCACCAGCATTGGCGCAACCAGCACTGGAGAAGAGCCGTTATCTCAACAGCTGATTTCAGAGAGTCTGGCGACGCCGTGGGGAACGTTATTCGGATGCTTGTGTTGTTGAGAGAGACTCGTGGGGTAGTCCGAGCATCATGATGTGGGGCGGAATTTGTCTTGCACAGAGGGTCAGTCCTGTGCTCTTCCAGAACATCGGTCCAGGGAGAGACAATGGTGTCAGAGCAGCTCGGAACATTCATCAAGTTTTGAGATCACTCGCCATACCTCATTTGGCACGTCGCTGCAACCATGAGTTTCAGCATGATAATGTCTGTGCCCACACTGCAAGAGCAACAAGAGTCTTCCTCTAGCAGAATGGCATCAGAACCGTACAGTGGCCTGCCCTCAGTCCCGATTTAAATCCCATTGAGCACCTGTGGGACGAGATTCAAAGACGTCTGAATGACGTCAGACCAAGGCCGACAACTGCAGCTGAACTGCGTCAGGCGTTCCTCAGAGCATGTGCTCAAGTGCCTCTAGACGTTGCACAGCAGTCATCAATGCACATGGCGGACACACGAGATACTGACTTGTGATGCCATTTTTCAGGTACTAGTGCTGTGTTTCACTTTTCAGAACACTTGACACTTTAATTGCAACCTTGATGATCAGTTTTGCGAAGTTTCATCTTTTTAATATGTCTCAAAGTATGTTTACAGTGTTTTGACAAATAAGGTGTCTCATATATCTATCTATGGTGGGGTTTCTTTTGCTGTTAAGTATATATAGTTTTCAAATTAATGGCGGTTGTAGTGAATCAAATTTGTTGAAATGTTTGCTAATCGAAGTACATTGTGATATCTAAATGCGAAATGTCACTTTTACTTAAGGATTGACTGTGTATTTTTTTCGGTTCATTAAGGTATGAATCGAAAAACCGATGTGCAAACTGTATGAGATCCTTCGGTCTCAAGGGTTGTATGGACAAGGAATATGCATGAATTTCTCTAAATGCCCAGTGCATGGCAATACACTTAAGCAGAAAGGGAATTCCCTCGCATGTAATATTAGGATTCACGGATATTCTGTAGTAATTAAAGTAGTCCGCTTCGGTGGACGTGGTTTACTTTTTTACATTCATTGGGAAATGAATGCAATAACACGTGACCAATTCACCTAATCAGAATGCAGGAATTACAATGAACACCGGGAATATTTAATTACTTAGTCTTGTTATTAATTTCCATTCTTGTAAACCAATATAATATATACATTGTTCACAACTACAGCTATCGTAGTCCTGGTATCCAAACACAATAGCCTGCACAACATGTCGTTGCTTCTGGTATTAAAAATATACTAATATTTTAATCTTTGGATTCAACCAAATGATATCGAAGTATATATTAGTGGTTGAACAACAAAAAGCACTTTCGGTAACCCAATGTATTATACATCCATTCTATAACATTATAAACCTATTCATTGGGGTCGCTATTAAGTAAGAGACTTCTTTCTATAGGCATTAAAAGCTATTGTGAGGTTTTACTTTCCAGTCGGGTTAAAGCTCATAAACAGGGACGTTGTAATGTCTCTGGGATTTTTTATAATATCCCAGGGATTTTATATAATGTCCTGGGTATTTCATTAATATAACTTCCGTTCAGATTGTAACATGTAATGAAATGTAAAATCAAATGACAAATGTTTTCTTTATATTCCCGAGGATCGAACTCGCCCCCTTGGTTTTCCCCTCCCCCCAGGGCATGCTCTGTCTACCAAAACCTCGTGAGCGTTTTTTCTCCAATACATAAATACCCCCGACCATGTTGCCATGATGTTTGGCATCGCATGTCTCTTGCTTCAGTGGGATAAACATTTGAAACGGAAGAGACTTTCCATAGCCAGTAGGAAGTGCTGCCATCAATATTGACCCTCTCTTATGACATGTTCCTTTGATGTGACATTTGATAAAGTGGATGAACAAGAACATTTGATCGTCATGACGTCGAACACGAGGATAATGTCATACCCTCATAAAGGAGGAAAGGTAACACAGCAAATACCACAAGTTCTAAAATGGCTGCATCCCTTTTGAATTCGATAAATACTATCTGGAAGTTATCAAAGCAAATGGTGTTCGCTATGGTTACATTGTGTCATAAACATAAACAAACGATGGATCGCATTTTGCGCAATATTCTGGCAATATTCCAGCTATACGTCTTTGAAACCAGAATGAGTACTACACAAGCCCAGTGATCATATTCAGTTGTAATTGAAACACATCACCTATTGTATCACAATGTTATACCTGTACAAAAAACAATATCCGATACTCCACTGACTGCGCACAATGTTCTCATAGCTTTGTATGTCCAGAAACAGCATTTAGCTCTGCTGGGGGATGTTTTCGTTTTGCAGGGTTTGTAACCGGGAGTCAGTTGATACCGACAACAACATCATATTGTGATGTGCGCCGCAGTGAGGATGGCGTCACCACTGATACGGACGTCTTCTCGGATCTCATTCGGGTATCTGTCTGTGAAGTTGTTTATGCTTGATCCATCTACAGCTAGCTGCAAGGAATCAAATGGAACATCTTAGATTATCCAGTGTATTGTGTTTCCATTCTGTTCTATTGGAACCACAGCTTCTACTGGACACAATTACAACTGTCTAACAACATTTCTCTCTTTATTAATAGACATTCTGTGCAATGTTTCTGATAAGTTGCATCTTGATTTTACAATGAAAAGTCACATTCTTCTGATTGAGGTGACTAAATTAATATCCATTTAAAGTTAAGGACAAACGCATTGATTTACTAATAATATTTTATTCCCAAAGAATGACATATGTATTAAAATTTATTTATTATTTAAGTCATTCATTATCGAAAATAGTAAGTTTTTTTATTTTCAATTCTTAAATAAGGCAGAAAAATCACAAAATATATCATTGAGAATTGTTACATCCAATGACGGGGGGAATCCTAAAATGTCCTGACTGATTTGTGTTCTTTCTTTGTCAACCCTTGAACGTTGCAAAAACCCCGGTACAGTGAGCCTGACATGACTTTAATACACATCCAAGAGGCCTAAACCTACTTTGCACACTCCTATGGGAAACGATACCAAATAAAAGAAAACTACCGCTCAACAGGACAATGATTTACTACACTGATAGGACCGTTACAATTAAGGGTGCGATGTACTTTTTTTTATTTCCGCCTATCACGACCGGTAGCACATACAAATCTGCTGGACACTTTGGATGTTATAGAGTGGGTAATTGCCTTCACTGCTTCAGAAACATTAATGTCTTATTTAACTGTTCATCAGACAGAGGCCAACCCAGACATAGTAATTACCACTAGGTTTGTGATCGTGACAAGGCTCAAGAAGAGGACGTGCGAAGAAACAACAACATACCATGTATATGCCTTGGTCCAGTCGTATCTCCACCAGAGACTCGGTACCTATTGCCAATGGGACCGGCCATAGCATAATCTCTGTTCCCCACACACCGGAGAAGTGTGAGTTGAATACTAGCTTGTTTTCATCCAGTCGGAAGGAAATATGATACAGACGATTTCCTCCTCCGCGAACATCCATATATACTCTAAAAAATCGGGAACAAATTGTTGATGTAAACTGTGAAATATGTTTACAGATCGAATAAAAAACAGGTACGAATTTTGGAAAAGACGATGGTGGTCCTACAGCGTCTCTTTTTATCTGGAATGCTCATTCGAAGTTTGCTTTCAATGTACAAAAATATATGTATTTGTATTAGTTCCTGAAGAGATTGGAAGAAAGACTCAGTGTTTTTATTTTTAGCCAATCAAATTGTGAACTTTGACAGACTTTCTGACAAATCGATTTGTATATTCCATCAGTGGCCACTGATGGATGGATGGATGGATGATGAGATTCGATAACAAATGCTAGTGGCCCAATATTAGATGCTTTAAATACTGGTCTAAACTTCTTCATAATCATGAACAACGACTCCCTAAATTAGCTTATAACATCCTTTTTTACATTCAGATACGTTATGAATATCACAAAACTTTCAAAACATTGCTTCAGCCAGAAATACTTTTCAGTACTAACTGATGAAAACATTTAATAAAATATCTACTTGATTTACCAGACCTATTTGTAAGTGAATAAGAAAACCATCCATGAACAACTTGAAAAGCATTTGTCCATCATGTAATCTAGAGAGAGAAAATGAAATTCGTTTCGTGTTTGTTTATTTTACTATGAGCTTCGAAAGATGTACATGTATTTCAAAGATTATCTAAAAGCAATATCGGGGGCACCGGTGGCCCAGTCGTCTAAGGCGCGGCGATTCGCTTTGCAGAGTTGTGTCCCTTGGTCACGCCAGAAACCTATGATTGTGGGTTCGAATCCCGGTTCGCCCAGATTATGTTTCTAGGGTTGTCAGCACTATACCCTTACTCGTGGGTTTCACCGAAGTGGTAAACGTCTGAGACCTGCATCACTTCGGGCTTTCCTCCCACATTTAGCTGACACGCCGCGATATAACTGGAATAATGTTAAAGGAGGCGTTAAACCCAACTCACTCACTCACTAATAGCAATATCACGGCTAAAAGTTCTGGTATTTATCGGTCTACATAGCCAAGACTGGGTCCTCTCTTGTCGTTCTTGATTTGCATGTGATAGCGTAGAACGTACAAACACAATACAATATGTATAGTGTGGCTTTAATGACTCGCAGGGGTCACGGATTGACCAGTCGTCTAAGGCGCGACGAATTGCTATGCAGAGTTGCGTGCCATCGGCACGCCAGAAACATATGATTGTTGGTAAGAATCCCGGTTCGCCTCAAGTATGTTTCTAGGTTTCTCAGCACCATACCCGTGCTCGTGGGTTTCACCGAAGTGATAAACGTCTGAGACCTGCATCACTTCGGGCTTTCCTCCCACATTAAGTTGACACACCATGACATAACTGGAATAATGTTAAAAGCGGCTTTAAACTCAACTCATTCACTAATGACTCGCAACATGTATGGTCTTGAGACTCTTTTAACACGGATGCCAGATTATGTTACAACTACGCCTGAAGTGCAGCAGGTGTGTGTCCTACTGTTAGCAGAGAAACGGTCATTTAGTGAGTGAGTGAGTGAGTTAAAATGTTCTCACATCGGCAATATTTCAGCCATATCGTGACTATCAAGGGTTAAACATATAAATATATTGGGACTTACATAAAAAAACTGCCAACCAAGGAAGTAAAATAACTAGACTTATCCCAGAAATATATTTAAAACTAGTATGTAATCATAAAATCAATAGCACTATACATAACATTACATTATAAAAACGGGCTATAGATCGCCAGCAACTGAAGGTAGATCACCATACTAGAGACTATGGGGACTTACAGTGCTTTAGCTTCCTGCAATGACCCTAGCCGGATTTACATCACCCCTTCAGGTGTTGGCGATTGTTGGCAAATTTAGCCAAATTAAAAGAACACATATTCTACGATTAAAACTGTTGTTGGAATAACATACTTGAACGATATGGACTAAGGAGACCCTCTAAGGGGGACAATTTTACACTACTTTAACCCCCTTTGAGGATACAGCCACGATCGATAACAGATATTGATTTATTCCACTGATGCTAAAAAGTCACTTACTTAATACAAAGCAAATTAACAAAATTTACTAAACAACTCAGTCAAGCAGGACAAGCGGGTAGGGGGATAAAATCACCATGCCTGACACTCGAAGAGTTGCGTCGCAAGCATGTCGCTGGGGAACAACTCTAACCTGGAATTCCCACGGAGCCAATTACGCACGTAATACATGTGACGCTTATTGTTTTCTAAACCATAATTATGTATACGAATATCTATCATTTACCGATTAACGGTCGTTGGAGTGATGTTCATTGCCACTTTGAAACTCGTTGGATTCCCACAAGGCATGACCATGAGGAAGTTCATCACCTATGTAAACAAAGAAAGGATACTAAAAATGTTTCACAGGCTTGATAATTTCTGAATCCTTTACAAACACTTACAACACTTTTTAGCTGGTGTTTCTTTAGCAGGAGTATACATACTGGTATCAACAACTCAAATGGAAGTAGTTGTATTTTATGTTTGATTTCTCATTTCAATTTGTAACGTCTTTCGGAATGTTTGGAAAACATTCTTGATTCTTGATTGCCACCAAACATATTTGCGGATAAAAAAACTCTGGCAAGGACATTATTAATTCTAGACCGCCTCCGTGGTCTTGTGGTAGGGCGTCCGCCCGGAGAGCAGAAGGTCCGGGGTTCGATCCCATAAAACGTTAAAAATGGTACTTGTTGTTACCCTGTCTGGCGCTCGGCATTAAAGGGCTAAAACAAGGACTGGTCGGCTCGGAGTCAGTATACCGTGTCTGAGTGGGGTATCTCAGTGTGCTAGCACTATAAATCGGCATCAGTCCGGACTAGTACAAGCAGCCATACGACTGCCTTGTTGTTTCTGACACATGCTTTTGTTCGGTGCATATCGAATACCCATTACACATTCACTTCCACATAATGTTCGTTCCCTCTCTTGCACAGTCACAAGAATCGTTAAATTTTACACAAGGGCAGACCGAAACGGATCAAGTTGCAAAGACCAGTTCTGCTGGTACTGACATTGCCTATCTAAGTGTGTAATGCCATGTACACAACATGTCATTGTGGTCTCTTTTTATACTTACAGGGGTTTTATTTGGTTGATATTATTGAGTCCATCTCACCTATCCATCTTGTCACAATTATTAATGATACCTTCATATTCAACGTTCACCCTGTACCACATAACCACCTTACCGGGTTCTCCCAACTATACTGTGCGCACGGGCCGACAGAACCGTTCCAATTTCCTGTCAACTGACAAACTCTCTGGTTTCTATCTGTGCACATCATGAAGTTGTCCTTGCAAGTGTATTCTGCAACTGCTCCTTCATACACACCGTCATAATGCATCTTAGCATTGGCAACAGAAGGTGGTGCGTCACAACCTTGAAACTCTGTATATTAAAACTCAATCATATAACATATTGGTTTATTTTATTCTCAAAGTAAGTACATGTATGTTTAACCAATCTGTCATTATTTGGATCTTGGAGTTGGATCTTGCCACCGATTGCAACAGATAAATGGGTCCGCTCAACTACTGATGGATTTCAGAGGTCACTGTCAGTTACGAAAGCATACACGTACGTTGAAACCCTATTTCTTGTTTCAGTTATTGTTCTTTGGTTAGGTCGGGTCGCTATCAACATGATCAATATACATCACCCGATTATTATTATAAGTGTGTGTGTGTGCGTGCGTGCGTGCGTGCGTGGGTGCGTGCGTGCGGCTGCGGGCACTAGTCATGAATAATAACTTATTCTTTGCTGGCCGACTGAAATGCCATTTTGCAGTTAAACATGTGTGTCCCACTCTGACTAGTCCTTGTTTTATCCCCTTAATGCCCAGCGCCAGACAGGGAAAACAACAAATACCAGGTTTTGACATCTTTTGAAGTTACACAGTCGGGATCGAAACACTGACCTCCAGGCAGATGCTTTGTCCTGGAAAAAGTCATTCGTGACATACACTTTCTCTATGGCATATCATGTCAGTCCAAGCCAAATGACTTCAATAAAAGATAACGTACAATAGAATTAACTTTTTTTACCAGTAAAGATTTACCCGTCTCACATGATGCCCGTCCGAGTCGATCTAATTGGCACCTGGACGTAGGACAAGGTGTCGCCGAACAGGCGCCAGCGAGGGACTATTTATAAACAATACATTCATATGGTGTTTAGTGTGCTGCCAATACTTATGATTCAGATAGATAGCACAGCCCAATCAGCTAATCTCAAATTGTCCAAACGAGTTTCTCTCAGCTGAGGGTGTTCGGGAGTGTTTTTCGCTTTTATGCAGACAACGTCCCACATGAGACCAAATCCTGCAGAGACTCTGGAAAGTCTTTACGTTATATGAGACAGCTGTTGGACTGTAAGCAGGCATCTTGTATGAATTCAAAACGCTAATGTCAACGTCAGAGAATAATCACTCTCGATTATCTGCTGAAATCCCATCAGGCATAAAAGGCAATTACAGTTATGTGAATGGATCACTAAAAATCAGTGATGACACCAGGTAAGCGTGTTTTTCTCATTGGTGCTGTTTACACATATTGAACACTAAAAACTGACCCATATGTCATTAAGCCCAATCACTTTGGCCCGGATGTTCAGAGTGAGTGAGTTAAAATTTAACATCACATCAGCAATATTTCAGCCATATCATGACGAGATTGGTAGGTTGGTCCGTTGCTCAGTTGTATAACACTACAATATTCCAGCTATATGAAGGCAGTCTGTAAATAATCGGACCCTAGAAGATCCGGGGTAGAATAGGTCTTCAGCAACCCATGCTCGCCGTAAAAGGCAACTGTGCTTGTCGTAAAAGGCAACTAACGGGATTGAGTGGTCAGGCTCGCTGACTTGGTTGATGCATGTCATCGATCCCAAATGCGTGGATCGATGCTCATGATATTAATCACTGGATTGTCTGGTCCAGAATCGATTTTTTACAGACCGCCGTCACATAGCTGGAATATTGCTGAGTGCGGCGTTAAACAAAAAACCAACCAACTGTAAATAATCGAGTCCGGACTTAAGGTTTCAGTGGCGAAAGTTATTGTAGACCAATGGCAACGGTCATTTTTCGCAAAAACAAGACCAATGTGTTATGAATGTAAAGAAAATTACATCTACTGTTGTTTTGACATTTTGAGCTCAAAACGAAAAATGAGATAAATTAAGGATTGAAAATATAACTACCTTAGGCCAGTGGTTGATGTCACTGAAGAGTAATCCTGGCTGCGTTGTGATGGCCACAAGATCACTTCTGTTGCTGTTGAGTTCACAGATGCGGGTCTTGGTCTCAAAGTTGAAGGACATGCAGACTGAAGACATCAGACATTCCGATGCACAGGAATAGAGAGACAGTGACCTTACTTTCCTAAATATGTAACGTTCCATATGCGCATCTACCTCCACAACAGAAGACGCGTTGAAGCAAGTGCCACAACTACCTAATCCTCCCCTAATCAAGACTAGGACTACGGTAAAAAGACACATTTGCATTTTCCTCTTTTGTGAGAAAAGAAATAAGTAAGGGAAAGGTGTCAGTAATGAATGTTGAATCTCATTCTTCACCTGTAAAGTTGGATCCCCCTACTACAGTTGCTGACACAAACATTATTAAACAGATACATATCCATCCATCTACCCGTCCTCACTGAAGTAAAGCCATGTGAACTTCCTCAGTGGATTTTCTTTGTGATCTAACTGTCTTTGCTTTCAACTGAAGAAACGCCCATATTAGAAACAGGAATGAATGTAACTGCGTGATTCCTTTCAAATACATGGAAACATACTTGGCCGTATTTGAAAATCTTTTGATCTCAATCTCGAATGCAAGTAACTCAGAGTTGATTGAGGTCGGAATGCAGTCGTGAAAACCACTTACATCCTGTGCCAGCTACATGCTTTATTGTTGAAAGATCAATATAACTAAATTTGATTTGGATGTACAATAAGAGGCTACGGTTGAACGCTTCAGAGGAAAAAGCTAATTTCACATAATGAACAAGAGTGCAAAATCGATCTTAACTCTTTTGAACTGCTTATGTGTACAGTTATACAGTGCTAAAGGTTTTCAGTTCGAATTGAGAACTTATGGCATAAGAAATTTGCCATCACTAAAATTGACCTTACTTCCTGATTCCGTCTTACGACAAGCATATTCGCCATTAGCGGTAAGCATTGGTTGCTGAAGATCTACTCTAACGATTTATGTTTAAAAAAAATAATGACCAATGAGAGCTCAACAAATTATAATACTTGCTCAGGCGGTAGGGTGGCCTAGTGGTCAGAGTGTTTGTGCTGAAGACACAGCTTCAATTCCCTTGCTAGATATTTGTAAAAGTGGCACATCAACTCAATCACTCTCTATTACTACTAATACAATGTTTCACGATAGAAACGTATAATATTGCGAGAACTCTGTATGTAACAGAGAACACATTAATATTTTAAAGAAATATCGTCATGCTGAAGACCCGGGTTCGATTCCCGACATGGGTACAATGTGTGAAGCCCATTTCTGGTGTCCCCCGCCGTGATATTGCTGGAATATTGCTTAAAGCGGCGTAAAACCATACTCACTCACTATTACAGAAATAGAAAATATGATACATTTGATAAACAAAGCTATTTTATAAGTTGTTAGTACATAATTATTAAGATGTGCCATCGATGGGGGTTAAAGTAAAACTTTTGAAGCATTTCTTGTTGTACCGGTAGCACCTGCCATATTTTAAAAAAAGTAAGTTGTCTGACAACCGCACCCAGCAGTACTCCTGCCATACAACAAAGAGCATGTAAACATTCGAGCATGAACCATCAAATCGATTATTGATCAGTATGTCAAACAATCATTTACTTCCTTGTTGAAACACCACGCTGTCAACCAAGTCATCCAGCGCGACCATCCGATCAATTAAAGCAAAACACTTGTTAGTTGCAAATGGACCAGATCTATCCAGTGTTTGACAACATGAGCATTGATAAACACAATTGAGATACTTTGAACCAAGTCATCAAACCTGACTACACGATCCCTTTGGTGGCCTCTTAGGACAAGTGAAGCGTGGCATTAAACAACCCCTTTCATGTTAGGAGATTATGTTTGCTACACCTTTCGAAGTGAATGAAAAGTATGTTGGAGGGGATATGGTACGAAGTCTTAGTAAACTTGGAAATACTGGCTGATGTAAATTTTCACGAATTGTATTAAAGGAGATCTTTCAATAACAGACGTTAAAGACAAAAAAGTGTCCCGGGTGATGACTTTGTTATCTAAAAAGCAACAAACAACTGCCCTTATACCCGTAATCATCACGAATTCAGATTGAAATCCCCCTAAAGCCTACAGGCTGTACCTGTAACGTCACAGTGGAGAGACGATCGCCATTTTGTCTCGTTAACAGTATGTAATTCTACCTGACAATGAAGTGATTTTCCGTTATTCTCGGCATATTGAAGACGCAAACATGGGTATTGTGTGGACGTGGGGGTGTACTAGTTCATCAAACAAAAGTTTAAATCAAATAATTGGGAAGATTACCATGAAGCTTTTTCAATACCTGAACTCCATACCGCCCTTAAGCAAGCACATGACAATGCTTCAGGATCTGATCACATCCACTATCAGCTTCTGAAGCACCTACCTGAACCATGTTAAGAAACCCTTCTTCTGATTTTTGGATGAAATATGCATATCCGACAAATGTCCTTAATTTGTGGCCTGATGCCATACAATTATCTTGTGAAGGGTGACACGGCAGACACAATTTTATGGATAACAACTTCTTTAATACTGTGAGTGAGTGAGTTGGGTTTAACGCCGCTATTAACAGTATTCCAGTTATATCAAGGCGTGTCAGCTTTATTTGGGAGGAAAGCCCGAAGTGATGCAGGTCAGACGTTTACCACTTCGGTGAAACCCACGAGCACGGGTATGGTGCTGACAAACCTAGAAACATAATTGGGGAGAACCCGGGATTCGAACCCACAATCATACGTTTCTGGCGTGTCCAAGGGACGCAACTCTGCACAGCGAATCAGGGCTCCTCAGACGACTGGGCCACCCGTGCCCCCCTTTAATACTGTGAAAGCGACGTTTCAGTATAGATCCTTATACCGTTATATATGACCTATTTCCTTAACCACCTGCGTTTGCAAAACCGCATGATCAATAATCTATTAATATTGTACTTAGAAACCAATAATTTAATTATAAATATACAATGTGGTTTCCATAAAAACAGGAGTACTATCGATCATCTAGTTCGATTAGAATCATTCGTGAAGAATGCAATAATAACTAAACAACATGCTGTGTCTATATTTTATGATCTCGAAAAAGCATATGACACAACATGGAAGTACGGTATTTTTAAAGATATACATGACTTTGGATTGAGAGGCCGCTTGTCAAAATTTGTATCCTTTGAGCACGCCAGAAACCTATGATCGTGGGTTCGAATCCCGGTCGCCCGATTATGTTTCTAGGTTTGTCAGTACCATACCCGTGCCCGTTGGTTTCGCAGAAATGGTAAACGTCTCAGACCTGCATCACTTCAGGCTTTGCTACCACATTAAGCTGACATGCCGCGACATAACTGGAATACTGTTAAAAGAGAAGTCCTTATGTTGGCACTGAAGTGTGAAATATGTATGTATTTCAATTTAATGGTGGTTGTTGTCAATCAAATTAGTTGAGATTGTATATGATGAGTACTACACTACTGCCTAAAAGTTCATTCCCCTAACACGCGTTGAGAACGCGTGTAACACGCATGTGACACGGGTGCTCAACGGGTTGCACACGGGGTGAGCACCCGTTGCACACGGGTGTGCAACGGGTGTGCAGCGCGTGTGCAACCCGTTGCACACGCGTGTGCCACGCGTGTAACACGGGACCGGGTTCCAGTTGAAGTTGACAAAATTATCAAATGAATAGTGAGATAAAACAAAATAGTGAGATGTGAAATTTGAGTTAATGAGCGGCCATTGAGCTGTGTTCACCAGACCGTAAATACAAGGTCGGCCCGTCTTAATTAGTGTTCGGTTGTTAGACTTTTATGGCGTGAACCATTCCACTAGGGTCCCGTCTAGCCATTGTGGCTAGCCGACAGTAGAACAGTAGTGAATTTAGATGCGAGTTTATTGCTAGGGGAACCCCCGTGTTGACACGATTGTCGCGGGTTGGTAAATGTTCGCCATTAATAAAATGATTGTTTGTGGATTGCGAACATATTCATTTGCCCACACGAGTCATTCCATTTGATTGCAAATATAACGTTTTTCGTTCGCCAAATTTATGCTTTAGACAGTACAATTATGATATAGCCGTCACCACTACTAATGTCTCATTATTTCACGTAGGAATATGTCCCATTTCCCCACACCCCACTTTCTGTTTTGTATTTTGAAGAATAAATAAAAGAAGGTTTTGTGTGGGACACTTTTATACTAATTATAAGAGGATGTTGTAAATGAATATGAACAGCCATGCTGTCTGACTGTTGATAGAATTTGAGATCTTCACAATCACCGGGTGTGACCATGTAGACAGAATCTCGTTAGGGTTTGTAATTTTTACATTTGCCCAATGACCATAGTGAGTATTGCTGGGGATACCAAACGTAACAGTTTATTATTAGAGGTTGTGAGTACCTATACCACATGGATAGGATATATTTAGGATTTTAATCCTTCTTTGAGAGGCATTTAGAAGTTGGAGTACTACGTTAGGATAAGATTTATGGGTGACTTTAATCCTTTCTTTCTCTGTGGGTAATCCTTTCACGTTGATTGGAGGAAGTCACTCAACCAGGTCATGACAGGTCGTGAGTTTACTCACTAACTACTGTTAGCGTTTTTGGCATAACATCTTTTCTTGTATAAACATAGAAACGATGCTCACTCACTGTTAATCTTCTGCAGTTTGCTGGCAAAGTGGGGATAAACCTCAGTGTCAAAGACGATCAAACTTAGTTCGAATCCTTGTTTATATGTGACATCTCCCAAATGGGGACATGTTCATAAACTTGGCAAGTGATGATGAATTTTAATATTAATATTATTATTGTTTATGAAATTGTTAATAAAACTTTAATAAAATTGTGCTTCACTCTCACGAAAAATATATTGTCTGTGAGTAAATTTATATGTCACGTTTCATCGGCATTTTTCAGTGATATTGGGACTACATGAAACATGGCTGGTTTTACATTTCTGATACAGGTGCTTGACTGACTGAGTAGTTCATGATCAATTAGATATGTTTAAATCAGTCAAGTTTGCAACAATAGATGAATAAGTTGATACATTTGGACCGCAGTTACCGATTAACAACTTAAGACATAGAGACAGGGAGGAGATATATAACCAAACCTATGGTCCTGTTGAGACAGTTGATAGTTAAATGACAGTAACTAATTTGAACATTCCCCAGTAATATCATAAAATACATCATAACTCATAACAGTCCGAGAAACAGCTTCCATCCATATACCAGTATTGAAGGGACAATCGCTTTTGACAGTTTAAAAATAAACTCATCTTAAGGTGCTTGGCAAGTCAAAACTGACCTCCCTGAATATGTTGTTTAGGCTTGACAGCAACTATGCTTGTGGATTTCAGAGATAGACATGATTTGTTAGCTAGATGTTATTACAATAAGCGAAAAATGTCTTAAAAGTCCACAGTTTGTTTAATAGTACAAAAAGTGTGTTATAGATCTATCAACGTTTTTTTTATTGAACATAATATTTGCACTATATTGCTGTTAGCTGTAAATAATCTAGCCTCCCCATGTACGTAAC